CATTGTCTGTTATCAGGCGTCCCGGTACGAACGCACTTTGATTGTCTGGAATCACCTCTGCAAGATGATCTTTAATCGGTTAGCCAGCACCTTTGAGACAATCTTGTATAGGACATTGCACAGACTTATGGGCCTTAAGTCCTTAATCCTGCTTGGGTTCTTCACCTTCGGTATCAACACCACATATGTGTCGTTCCACCCTTCCGGCAACTGTCCACCATTCAACACATGCATCACCTCCTCCACGATCTTTCCTCCCATCATACTCCAGTGTTTTTTATACACCAACGATGGCATCCCATCCGGTCCAGGTGCCTTCAAATCACCAATCTGATCGAGGACTATTTTTATCTCCTCTTTTGTGAACTCTTTCATAAGGCACTCATTCATTTGCGGTGTAACCCGCGGTTGGACATGTTGCAACAGCTCCGGCGATCTGGCGCTTTGTTTTGAGGTAAACAAATCCTGAAAAAAGGAACGCACATAGTTAGACATCTCGGATCCCTCCGCCACCACCGAGCCATCATCCCTCCGTAGCTCCTTTATTTTGTTGTTCTTCTTCCTCACGGTAGCACATTTATGCAGAAACTTAGTGTTCCTCCCCCACTCCTTCAACCACCATACATGCGCACTCTGCCTCCACTTTATGTGAACAATTTCCTCTAGGCGTGCTACTTCCCCTCTCCATCGCGCCTCCTCCTTCACTTTCTCCTGTGATATTCCCCGTCGTCGCCATTTCTCCAGCTCAAAGTTTTCCTTCTTCAGCCTCGCTCCTAGCTCGCCCACGACCTCCTTATTCCATTTTGTTAGCCTCCGTGCCACTCCCGCCAATGCCCTTGACACCTCCGCGGCCCCTTCCGCCCAGCTTTCCTCCCATGCATCCTTAATAACTTCATCATATCCGTCCTCCTGCAACCACCTTGCCTCGAAGCGGAAGGTGGAGTCACGGGTCCCCGTTCCTACATCTCCTTGCTCAGTTGACACGACCACCGGCCTGTGATCGGAGTGCCGCAGGTCTCCATTAACAACCCGAAACTCAGGAAACTGTGTACACCATGCATCATTTGCCACTGCCCGGTCTAGCCTCTCACAGATGTAATTCGCACTGTCCTCGCTATGGTTCCTCCAAGTGAACATGTCACCTTCGAAGCCTAAGTCTTGAAGTTCGCAGAAAGTTAGAGCCTCCCGGAACCGGTCCATGTAAGCTTGGCCTCTCGGTGCTCCTCCCATCTTCTCATCATTGCACAAGATTTCATTGAAGTCTCCAAAGCATAGCCATGCCCTCCCCTCTTGGTGTTGTTGCTTAAGTGTACGTAGAACCCTCCAGGTCTCCACTTTCCTCTCCCATTGTGACTCCCCGTACACTCCAGTGAGTCTCCAAACCCCCTTCTCATCCATAACATCTGCATCTATATGCCTCCTCCCTATTGACCGCAAAGTAACATCCACCCCTCTCTTCCAAAACAAAGCCACCCCCTGCTCCTCCCTTCCGGATCCCAAGCCACCATGCTAGCGAGCCCTAGCTTCCACCTCAGCCATTCCATCTCTTCCTCCGTCATTCTAGTCTCCGCCAAAAACAAAATATCGGGGTCCTCCTTTCTCCCGAGCTCCAGGAGTGCTCGAATTGCCGTGTCGTTCCCCAACCCCCGGCAATTCCAACTTATTAGTTTCATTGCTCCCGGCGGGGCTGCTCCTGCAGCCCGGCCGATATGTTCTTGCTTTTGGACCCGACACGGTTCTCCTCACTCGTCAGCTCCACCCTGCGTTCTCTTTTAGCTGACCTGTTTTCCTCAGTCTCCATCTCCTCCTCCGCACATGATCTCTTCCTTCTCCCTCCAATATCCTCCTTAGACCCCCCCCCCTCCTACATCCTCTTTCCTAGCTCGCTCCCTTCTCCTGAATTTGCCTGGCTCTCTATCTTTACCCCCCTTCTCGCCCTTATGTTTCTGCGTCATGGTCAGCTTCCCCCCTTCCCCTTCTCTTCCTCATGCACTATACTTTCCTGCGCATCAACC